TGGTTTGAGGCATCCTTTGAACGACTGAGCGGCTAGAGCTCGCTTTTGTTCCTTTTCATGAGGATTCCACAAGGATATAGGGAATCAATTGATAATGGCGGCATTCTCCAAAAATGCACTGCAACTTTGGAATAGCAAAAATTTAGGGTGGGCCTATAATTATAAAACGCAGTGTATAATTGATCTTCTTTTTGAGACCAGAATCGGCGCTTTTGTAGATGGATTTGTGGCTTGCTGGCAATAAGAATTTGAATTTTTTTGGCTTCTCTGCTCATGGCCGTTGATGAGCTACCAAAGACTCAAAATTCAAAAGTTATCTCACATATCCCCATTGAGATCTCTTTATAGACTCGCATATGTCAAGTTCAAGTACCCCTTGTGATTCATCTCGCAAACATGCTATCGTAGAGGCCTGACAGCATGTTTGCCAGATGCTCATGCTTGTCTTCGGGATAAGACTCCAACTGTTACACAGACACTCAGACACTTACACATGATAAACTTAAGCTAATATAAAAGGGAAGCTGGCAATTCGTGCAACGTCGTTTTCCGTGATGAAATAATTGTGACATTACCGGGTCATAATAAAAAAGTTCAACCGCAGAGCTCATAGGCGCAGAATTCGGTATGGCATGAAGGCCACATTAGTACTAGGCCTTCACCGTACTGCTCCAGGTTAGAAGACACTCATTAGACAAAGAAAACGTAAGATTATGTCTGGCCAGATGATAATGCAACATTGTTAGGTTAGGCATGAAAGGAGCAGGGCCCAGACGGTTTCAACGGACCCGTTGGGAGTAGTCAGACAATGCCGAAGCTGTAGTCACTTCCCCCTTCGTGACGTCGGATTTGCTCACACATTGCCTATAATGAGGGTCAAAGCAGAAACCCCCTCCATTTTCTTGTATGCCCTCCTCCACTGCTTCTTCGTTAAACGTGGCATAGAAATGCAGGCTCAGCTGCACATATGCATCAGCGCATTTCCTCACCGACTGTCACTTCGATGGAGTCTCTTCTCGCCCACCCTCTGTGAAAGCAGACCAGTTTTCACGCGTTTCATTCCCATTTTTGTGAGTTGAATTTGAAGCAACTTTATTGTTTACTGGCTGTGTTAGAGCTAAAGTAAAAATTTTCAAACTTCAGACTGCTACACTATATGAATGGTCCATTTGGTGCATTTTCAGGATCTTCATTCCAACAACATGTGAATCTAACCAAAACCGTAAGCAATTCAAGACAGTCTATTCACAGAGCATAGACTATGATGTCATTTGTTGCTTTTTCTGGTAATGGCTTCATCTTCAGTGGGACCAAGCGACGATAGAAGACGATTACCAACACAAGCGCTAGTCCCAACGTGCATATCTGCGTGACCATCACGTATTTGTACCCAGAGTACTTGAACAGATACCTGAATTTTGATTTGATTGCTTGTAGAAGTGAAACGCTCCTGCAAATTCTCTTACGGAATCTTGTTATCAGTGAAGGAAGAATTCTCGATTGTAATGTGAAACATTAGTTGTTGTTTGATTTGCCACCTGTGCTATGCAAACTCTTTCATCTTCACAAGCAGCTGCATTAGTATGCGTCAAAACTATCCAAAGACAATGACTGCGATAATTGATTCTGAATCATGGAGGTAGGGGTGGCTAGTGGTGCACCGGTGGAAAAAAAATAATGAGAACCTAATTTTGCTTTTGACTTCAGCAGTCACTTCAGTTTACATAGAGGCCGTTTGATCGAAGTTATGGAGGTA